CAACGAAACTCCCCACTCAGGTGAGATTAGGCCAAAAAATGGTGGCTGGGTCGGGGGAGGAATTCATTGGAATGAATGACTGAACAGTCAGGAAGGGGACTGATTTAAACTTGGACTTGACACTGGTGACACAGCACAGTGTCTCTACCGCTGAGCCTGATTCCTGTCTTCCCTCCATCCTCAGACAGGCTCTTCCCTCCTCAGGGCCAGATGGTGGCACTCACTTCAGCCTCACATCTGCCCAGGCTCAAGTCCAGTGGGAGAAAGTGCCCACCTCTGTAGCCCTAAAAAAGTTTCTTGGTGTCTCTCTGGCTGGCCACATACTTGCCTCTAAGCCAGTCTCTGTGGCCAGGGGAATGCAGCACGCTGTTCTGAGGGCCAGACCAGGCCACAGGCCCACCATGGCATGAGAGCTGTGGGAGAGAGTCCTAAGCTCGTGGGCTGCGTGGAGGTGAGGGGTGAGCCTCCCAAAGAAATGGGTACCATTCCTAAAAGAAGGGTAATGACCACAAGATAAACAGTAAGTGTCCTGAGCTTGTCACATGACCTTGGACGAGTCACCATCACATCCTCAGGTGTTAGTTCTCTATCTTTGGTAAGAGTGATGAGCTAAAAGGTCTGAGATCTGGTCAGGCCTGTGAACTCTGACTGTATGGGTTCTGGAAGCCTGGTCACTCTCTTCCTTGCTACTTTGTGCCTTTTGAAACCACAGCTGGGCCCGACTTCCTTAGAACTTTGTGGGTCAGCATTTGTTGCTCCCGTCCTCCAGAGCATTTCCTGAGTTTAATGCTCAAAAATGCCAGGCTGTGGTTCCGAGCACATTCCTGTAAGGTAACTCACCACGGGACAGTTTCTCAAACCAAGCCCACCACAAAGCCCAGAAGTCTAAAGCTCCTCATCTTTCTCACCACCCACGGTTCTTTCAGGCTGCAAACTCTTTCAGCATCTTCTTTGGATCTTCACCCCCAGCCCTTATATCTCTGAATCTGATCTGTCACAGAGTTTGGTCATGTTCATTCCCTAGAATGTCCCTCGGGCCCCCTCTGTGGTTCTCCTTGCTTGCTCATATTGATGAAGCCAGCTGCCGTGTTGTGACCTTCCCTGTGGACAGGCCTAGTGACAGAGAACCAGGGGACAGCCTCAGGCCAACAGCCCATGGGGACCTGAGTCTTGCCGGCTTGACCTGTGTCAGCTTGGAGGCAGACCCTTCCCCAGCTGAGCCTTGAGCTGATTGCCGGTGATGGCCTGGCCCACAGCTTGAGTGCAGAGAACCAGTTACGTCATGCCTGGACTCCCAGCCCACAGAAACAGAAATGAGCTCCAGGAAACAGTTATCAAGAAATGGAGTTGACAGGCATCCTGGTCTTCCTGAACTGTATGGAAATGAGTCTAAGATTTCACCATTCAGGATGAGAGGGCAGTTTTTTTCTTTCTAATAGATACTGTATTAGTCAGGGTTATTCAGAGAAACAGAACCGACAGGAGATACATATATAAACATATATATGAGAAAGAGAAGGAGGAAGGGGAAGGGAGAGGGGAAGAGAGAGATTGATTTACTGTAAGGAATTGGCTCACACAATCATGGAGGCTTGGTGAGTCCAAAATCTGCAGGGAAGGTTGGCAGACTGGCGACTCAGGGAAGAGTTGCAAGGGGTCCAAATGCAGTCTGCCAGCAGCTTTCCCTCTTGCTATGGTAGGTCAGTCTCTGTCCTGTTAAGGCCTTTAGTTGATTAGATGAGGCTCATCCATGTTGCGGAGAGTAATCTGCTTCGCTCAAGTCCACTGATATAAATGTTAATCTCATCCCCAAAACACTTTCACAGAAACATCTAGAATACCGTTTGACTAACTATTGGGGCATTGTGGCCCAGCCAAGCTGACATAGAATTAATCATCACGGATACTCTATATCTGGTTAAGTAAATGCCCTTCCATTCCTAACATATTAAGAGCTTTTCATCAATCTTGCATTTGTGTTGAATTTTATCAAGCAATTACTTTTATACTATTCTCATTTGGTCTATACCTTGTTAAATCAAATTTAACAGGAAAATAAAATATCCTTCAGTTCACTCGTTGCATCCCCACTGCCACAAGCCGTGTTGGTTAGAGAGCAGATTGCCAGCACAGACCCAGGAGCAGCGATGAGGCAGCTTGGAGGGCCTTCCTGTCCCTGAGACAAGCCCTGGGTCTGGGCCTTGCCCAGGAGGGGCCCACAGGCTGCAGGAAGAGCCTTGCACGATCCACATGGAGACTGTGGGTGGGCCTGACAGCTGCCTGAGTTGTAGGCCTCACTTGGATCAGGATGGGGCTGATGAGACCTCAGGTAATCAGGGAGCCTGGGGTAAGAGCAGCTAGTTGGGGGGCGGTGGCAGTGGGAGACAAACCTGCTCACACGCACACATGCACACTCATGCATCAGGGGTGGCCTTGAGCCTCAGTCCAGCTGGCTCTGGGACGCACAGAACTCTGGCTCTCTCTGGCTTTAGAGAAAGGTCCCCAAATGGAATAAGTCTTTCTTTCTTTCTTCTTCTTCTTTTTTTTTTTTTCCTACTTGTGCCCCTGTCAGTCCCCAGAACATAGGTGCCCTGAGTCAGCCAAACCTCAAGGTTGAGGGAACAGTCCTCCAGACTGCCGACTCTGCCCGGGACTTCTGACCCCACTTGCAAGGGAATTACCAAACTGCAGCTTGAGGGAACATCCCCTTTACAAGGGAGCCCTCGTGACACCAGCTGGAAGTTCAGGGGTCCCGGGATGACCCTCACTTCAGATCAGCTGGCTACCAATTCCAGGGTCCCCAGCACCTCAGCTTTGATAATTGGCCAGAATGACTCACAGAACTCAGGAAAGATCTCTACTTACAATTACCGTTTATTTGACAGTGAGAGGGTACAGACTGAAGCCAGCCAGAGGGAGAGATGCACACGGCAGAGTCTAGGAGGGGTCTAAACACGGAGCTCCCAGTCATGCCCTCCCCACACAGTCACGGACCCGACGGTGTTGCCCTCATCCACCACAGTGTGTGACAATACCCACAGAATATTACCAACTAGGGAGATTCACCTGAGCCTTTGTGCAGAGTTTTTCCTGGGGCTTGATCACATACTGCCCATGAGGCTGACTTTGGTCTCCACTGGTCTGTCAGGCTCATGGCTTTAGTCCCAGTTCTTCTAGTCCCAGTTCTTAGGCAGCAACTAATACCGACTGTTCCAGAGTCCCCATCACAAATCACACTATAAGGCTGTGCAGCGGCCAGATTCCCAGGCAAACAAAGACACTCCCGTCAGGCAGGCCATTCAAGGGATGAAGAGATCACCGCTCAGTAGCCCAGAGCAAAGGCCTGACCTCTGTTCAGGTATGGTTAATTCTTCATTGTACAGTAGGACATGCCATAAAGTAAGTACCCAAACATGCAGTGTGGTGTGACAGCCTGGCTTGATTTTAAAGCCTCCAGGGACGCCTGGGTGACTCAGTTGGTTAAGTGTCCAACTTCAGCTCAGGTCATGATCTCACGGATCATGGGTTTGAGCCGTGCATCAGGTTCTGTGCTGACACCTCAGAGCCTGGAGCCTGCTCAGGATTCTGTGTCTCCCTCTCTCTCCTGAAGTATTTCTTCCTCCCCCACTCATTCTCTCTCTTTCTCTCTCTCAGAAATAAGTAAGCATTAAGAAAGAAAGAAAGAAAAGAAAAGAAAAGAAAAGGAAAGAAAAGAAAAGGAAAGAAAAGAAAAGAAAAGAAAAGAAAAGAAAAGAAAAGAAAAGGAAATCTCCAGTTCCAGTGCTGGCTTTGCACTTTTGAGTTTAAGTTACTTAACCCTTATTCATGCCCAACAAAGTTGGAAGGCTCACAATTGCTGATTTCAAAACAGACTACATACTACAGCCATCAAAACAGTGTGGTATAACATCAGGATAGACAAACAGATCAATGAAAGGAGCACAGATAGACACCCTTGCATTCACAGCTGATTTTTCAGTGAGGGTGTCAAGACAATTCAGTGGGGAAAGAACTGCCTTTTCAACAAATGGTGCTGGAATAACTGGATATCCACATGCAAACAAGTGAAGTTGAACCCCTATTGCACACCATATACAAGAGTTAACTCAAAATGGACCAAAGACCTAAATGTAAGGGCTAACACTATAAAACTATTAGAAGAAAACATAGGTGTAAATCTTCATGACCTTGGATTAGACAATGGTTTTTTTAAATATGCCACCAAAAGCACAAATAGCAAAAGAAAATATAAATGGCACCATCACAATAAAAAACACTTCCATGCTTCAAAGGATATCATCAAGAAAGTGAAGAGGCAACCCATAGATTGGGAGAAGACCTGCAAATCATATATCAGGGATCAGGGATTTGTATGCAGAAAATATAAAGAACTCTTACAATAATAAAAAGATACATAATCCAGTCAAAACGGGCAAAAAGATCTGAATAGATAAAAGAAGAAATGCAAAAGGCCGACAGTATGTGAAAAGAGCCTTAACATCATTAGCCATTAGGGGAATGCTGATAAGATACGAAGATACCACTTTGCACCCACATGGACAATTAAAATGCAAAAGACAGAAAATAACGAGTATAACAAGTGTCAGCAAAGATGTGGAGAAACTGGAACCCTCGTGCAATGCTGACAGCAATGGAAAACGTTGCAGCAGCTTTGGAAAACTAGCTGGCGGTTCCTCAGAAGGCTAAGCAGAAAATTACCATAAGACCCAGCAATTTCACTTCTAGGTATACATGCAAAGCAATGAAAAACACTGTCCACATACAAGTGTGTATATGAATGCTCATAGCAGCATTACTCATAACTGCCAACAAGTGGAAACAACCCAAGGGCCCATTAACCAATGACCATTAGGTGAAGTTGGGCCATCTACACAACGGAATTGCATTCAGCCTTGGAAAGGGGTGAAGCAGAGATACCTGCTACAATGTAGATCAATCTTGAACATATTACGCGAAGTGAGAGAAACCAGACGCAAAAGATAGGATTCCATTTATATGAAATAGAATAAGCAAATCTGTAGAGACAGAAAGTAGATTAGTGGTTGCCTAGGGCTGGGGAGGGAGGGTTGACGTTGACAACTAAGGGATGAGGGTCTTCCTTCCGGGGAAGTGAAAATCTTCTCAAAATGATGACGGTGGAAGCCACACAAGGAAAAACCACAGAGTCATACGCTATAGATGGATGAATTATGTGGTATGTGGATTATACCTCACTAAAGTTGCTTACAAAGAGTATAAAAGGAGGATGAGAAAAAGGAGGAGGGGACGAAGAGGGGACTCTCAGGACATACTGTGATTCCTGATGCCCGGAGCCACCTCTCAGTCAGGCCATCCCTTGCCCTGCTTGTCCCCACTCCTAGTCTCAAGCCTCAAGCCTGTACCCCAAATCTGTTCTGCTCAGCATGAAAGTAATCACATGTGCACTTTTGTCCGGTCGGACTGCTATTCTACACTCTGGTCTGGTGAGGAACTCACTTTCAGCTCCTCTCAAGCCAGCGATGAAAGTGAGGGAGACTTTGGGTCGTGAGACTGGCTGCCGAGGAAGCCCAGGCCTGGGACAGCCCAGAACTCCAGCCCAGTGAGGGCTGGAGGGCTGTGGCTGTAGCCAGCTGTGCTCGGGTTAAGCCCTCAGCCCCTGGAGGGTCTTCAGGGTGCCAGGTCCCTGAGCAGCCTCAATTCTGTGCTGTTGGAGGCCTGGCCCCCAGGGCCCGGTGTTTCACGGCCATCCTCAAGGCCTGCAGAATGGCATCCTGGCTGTTCCGAACATTGTAGTCACTAAGCTGCAGCAGGCGATCAAAATCTTCCTCCTTGTAGGTCATGTTGAATAGGGAATAGGGTGAGGCGGTCCCAGTGAGATCCACCTGGCCAGCTGGGAGCTCTGTGGGGCTGCGTAGGACACCTGTCCAGAGAGGGGAGGGGTTAGGAGTAGGACCCAGAGGCCTCCAGGGGTGGGCAGAATGAAGCCTTGCGACTGGGCACAGGGCGGCGCTGTTCCTCACTGAAGGGGCTCCTTGCTGTCCTCTGCCCTCTATGTCCTTTGCCCAGAAATATAAATGTGGCTAGTATATAAACACACTATTTTGAGATCTGAAGGGTTTGCTGCTCCCCACACTTCCTCATAGCAATGCACTTCCACTATAAAGGGAACCTCACAGTATCTCTCTGTATCACCTTCAGGGGCAAGGTGGAAACAGTGGGACAACAAAGTCAGGTCAGTGAAAGATTCAGCCAAGAGTCTGAAAACCAAAGTGATTTTTGCTTTGTAAGAACCAGTCTTTGTTGACAGAGAAAGAGAATTCCGCCACGTGGGCTGAGCCTGTTAAGGGTAGAGCTGGAAGGTTTGGAATTAGAACGGGAACCAGCAAGCCAGGAATAACGTACAAAGGCAGAAGTTAAGTTTTCCCACCAGAGGAGTTAAAGGTCTGACCCATTGACAGGAGGTGAGGATTGGAAGGCCTGTGATGAGGGTTTACATTGCAGGGGCCCCAGAGTGGAGTCCCAGCTTCCTGAGAAAAGACAGCGGGCTGGGCTGGGGTGGGAGGGCAGAAGCCAACTGAAACCTCAGGTAGCTTCAGGGGAATCTGAGAGCAAGGGGCCCGGGGCCTCTCTGTCCTGGCTGTCTAGCGGTCCAACAATGTGGGGCCTAAGCACAGGTGGAGATGGCTGCAGACGGGGGGACAACGCAGACCTCTGGTACAGGGATTCCCATACACCACCACGGAACAGGACTGCTGAGGAGCCCAGGTGTAGCTAGGGAGGCCGGGGGAGGGGTGCCTGGGGTCATGACAGAGGACAGCATCACAGTGACTGTGCCAACAGAGAGCCCCTGTGAGGATGCAGCACCCACAACAGAAGTCAGCACACTGCCATGTCCAAAACTGGGTGGGACTAGCCTGAAGACCCCCTCCCTTTGCTGGCTACAGGAGTGCTGGGAAGGACCCAGGCAGTGCCTCTGAGGGTCCAGGCTGCCAGGCTGTTAGGAAGGGAGGGGATGCCTTACCAGGGGCTGAGTGGTCCTTGAAGGAGGCATTGACCAGTGGGAAGTGCAGCAGGACAGGGGTATCAGGGTGAGTGGGGTCCGAGAAGAGGTGGCACTCTGTTGGCTGGTGTTGGTCCTGAGGGTTGGGGTCCACTCGAGGGAATGGCAGTCCCCGGGCCTGGCAGTACAGCTCAGTCTGCTGCAGCGTCTGGTTGGGGAGAGGGGGGCCCAGAGAGAACCAGCTACTTCCTGGCCATCCCAGGTCAGTGCTCTTGAAAATGCTAGGACAGCTCTAGCCCAAACTGACTGCTCAGTGTCAAGACAACCTGGTTCTGACCTGCGTGGGGTCTAGTGCCTTGGAGGGAGGCGAAGGATTCCAGTGGTCTTCAATGTTGTTTGGTTAAAATCTTTAGGTGAGGTATAGACCTAGCACCCTTGCTCCCACTTGGGATTCAAATCTGGGTTATTCACAGGGCACCTGGGTGGCTCAGTCGGTTGAGTGTCCGACTTTGGCTCAGGTCATGATCTCACGGCTTGTGAGTTCGAGCCCCACGTCGGGCTCTGTGCTGACAGCTCAGAGCCTGGAGCCTGCTTCGGATTCTGTGTTTCCCTCTCTCTCTGCTCCCCTCCCCCCCCCCCCACTCATGCTGTCTCTCTTTCTCTCTCAAGAATAAATAAAAACATTAAAAAAAATTTTTTTTTTATCTGGGTTATTCAAATCCCAGAGCCTAGAGAGCCTCAGTAGGGGACCCATTTCTGTTCCTAGGTCCCCCCCAGGGGGGCCTGAGGGGATGGATGTGGACAGGCCAGGGTCTCCTCCCAGTTCTGTCTAGCTGTTCTTGTTGGGGTGGGTGTGGTGAGCTACCTCCCATCTGCCTGTCCTGGGAGCCCAGGGCCCCAGTACCTTCATAGCCCTTCTCAACCAAGGACCCTGGCAGGAGTCTGTGGGTTAGAGCCTGTCACCCTTCCTTCCCCTTGGGGACTCAGGAAGTCAGGGCCAGTGGCCCAGTGGCCCTTTGCTTGCCCCTGGAGCATGGCCTGGCTCCAGGCCCCAGAGGGTTCCCATGAGGTAACCAGAAGCACCTTAAAGGGTGAGGATAGGGAGTAGTCGAAGGAGAGTATGAGGTCCAGTCTGCGGCCTGGCCGGAACATGGAGGGACAGCTGGTGTTGAGGAAGTAGCCGCCATCTACCAGGCAGAGCTGTGGCTCCTGAGGCGTAAGCTGACCAGGGGTGGAGTCTAGCTCACAGTCTGATGGGGGAAGCAGTGATAGTCAGAGGCAGCCTCTCCACCACAGATCATCTACCTTTCATACTACATTTGCCTCCATGTCCCCTTCTAACTTCTGGAATCACTCCCTGAAAGCACACACCACCCCAGCCCTTCCCAAGACCTTCCGCAGGCCAACCGCGGAAGGGAATGCTATGACCCCACCTCCCCCCAAGTCCCCCGCCGGTCCTAGCCATGGTCCATTTCCACCTGGGAGCCTAAGCCTGTCACCTGGGGATACACGGCAGGGGCCCTTACCTGCCCAGGTGGAGAAGTCTCTCTGGCTATAGTAGTCCTGGTGCAGCTGGAGGCCCCGAAGGAAGTTGAGACTATGCTGGTGGAGCGGCCTGCCTGTCAGGAAGCCCTTAAATGCCTTGGCCAGCATTGTTCCGGGTTGCAGCCAGGAGGCCTCCAGCCGTGAGGAGGTCCTCACGGAGGCAGGAGACTCCTCTGGGTTCAGAGAAAGACATTGGTCCAGTGAAAGGCCTGGAAATGCCTGGCCCTGCCTCCCCTCTGATAGTGCCCTCCCCCAAGCACCTGAAGAGGAAGTAGACTCATTTCAGGCTCCTCGTACTGTCCCCCCTTCTCACCCAGGTTCTTAATTTTGTCCTTGACATGCTGCTTCCAGGTGTCATCAGAGCTGATGAGGTCATACCAGGCATCCAGCAAGTTCAGGGACAAAACGTTGCTCCAGATACCTGAAGGTCAAACCCCCACCGAAGTCACCCTCAAGCCTCAGCACCCTGCCTCCCATCACCTGGAGGGTGGGGACGGAAGAGGGGAGTCAGGTGGGCTGCCCCTGCAATGGCTTTTCCCCACAGCCCAACTCCAGTTTCCCCCACCTCCAGGGGCTCTGCCAGACCCGAGTATGGGAATCATGTCTGGGCAATGAGGCCTGGCCCAGGACTGGCTAGAATCTTCCGAGTGACCATCACTCACCTTCCAGAAAGCAGATCCGGGACTCAGGGAGCTTCCTCATCAGCCGCCCCATGAAGAACTCAGAGCCAAAGAGATCAGAAGGGACAAAGGCTCCATACTTCAGGAACCCCACCTCATAGGGTGAAAACTCTACCCACTCTGTAGGAATAGGAGCAAGAGGCAGGAATGAGAGGAGAGTGGGTTGAGGAGAGCCCCAGCTCTGACAGGGGCCAAAGACCCTGCCCCCCCCCCCCATAGGCCTTAGCCTCCTCTCTGCCTGGCTGACTCCTGGGCTCACCACTCCTCCACCCAGCCCCTTGACCACATCCCCACTACCCCACAACCAGGAGAGTGGGCTCTGCTCCCTGGCTCATTAGCCCATCAGAACCTCCTCCGTTCCAGAAGGCTGGGCACTCTGTGTAGGAGTTTCCTGTTTGAATCCTCTGAAGGCCTGCTGGGTGCACAGGAGGTATGCACGTACGTGTGTGTATGAGTGTGTGTGTGTGTGTGTGTGTGTGTGTGTGTGTGTGTGTGTTGGAGGGTAGTGTGGACAGGACTAAAGACTGTACCCTTGAAGTCCAGGGTCTCCAGATGGTTCTCTTTGACGTTGAGGCTCAAGTAGAGGGGCAGAGGGTTCTGGCCCCGCTCCAGTGCAGCTCTCTGTTCCGACAGCTTCTGATCCATCACCTGGGGTGGGAGGCATGAGGGCTTAAGTGAGGTAGGGAGCATCCTGGAGGCACAGGCTGAGGGGGAGGAGGCAGCTCCCCGCTGGAATTTGGGTGGCATGGGTGGGTGCATGTTTACATGCACTCCCACCCCCATATTCTGACCAGATTCAGGGTCACCATGGGGGACTATGGAGGTTGTGCACTGCACATGTCTCAAAAGAATGCCATTCACAAGGACTACCGTGTCAACAGCAATACCCTACCTCTGTTCCTATGATTCCGTTGGCCCCATCCTTATGGGTTCAAGGGTGGAGTGGATGTGGGCCCTGACACATGGACACAAAGGCACACACACACATACATTGCTTTCCAGAAAGGACACAGGAATCCCCTTTCAGTACACATTGTAAGCTCTGTCGGGGGATGGGCTGCCCCTTCTAGATTCACATGGATGCAGTTCAAGTCTCAGCCCTTCCAAAATGCTTTCCGGTCATCCTTGCCTCTCCCTCTTCACACCCTTCTTTCCTGCTTTGCACAGTTGAAGTTGTACCCCGTTGATTAGTCTTGCCTCTGTTTCCAATTTTCTCTTCAATAAAACTCCAAGTTCTGCCTTGATGGCAAGGACTGTGGCTCGCCTTATCGAGGAGCCTCCACAGAGCCTCACGGAGTTCTAGGAGCACAGAAAGGTCTCCCTCTATCCCGGACCAAGGATGCAAATAGGGTTCATTTCCAGCATCAGCAAGGCTAATGGCGGTGGCTGGCTGGAGCCCCACCTGGGGAACGAGGCTTCCACAGGTTCTGGCTGCTTCTGCCAGACACAGACACACCGTCCCTCTCTTAGGCCCTCTGAACTGGAAGGCACCGCACTCAGTAGCCAGACCTAGGGGTTTCCCAAACCGCCCTATCAGCCCTTATGATCTGATTTACTTGGAGAATGTGCTAAATTAAACATACAGATTACTGGGTTTCCTCCTGAGAATCAGCAAAAACCACTTAGGAATTTGCTTTTTCTTTGGTCTCGCCAGGTGATTCTGATGATCAGCAGATGTACGTCCCAGGATGCTAGCCCTACCTTTCCAGTGAGGAGACCCCTCCCACACGCCCGGTGTACCCCATCTTCCCCCTGCAGCCTCTGTCACTGATGCATCATCTTTTCCCCTAGTTCTGCACTAGTGCCCAATAGGACTTGAGTTCTAGGGAAACCACAGGAAGAATCCCCAAATATAGCTTAAGCCCCTGGCACTATTTGTCATACGTACAAGTCAGTCCCTCAGGTGTGAAGTGTGTATGTAGTGAAGAGAGGGGGATCTTGATCAATACCTGCAATTTCCCTTCTCAAAGGGTAATAATTCTCCAATTCTCTTCTTTTTATTTAGGCATCCTGTTTGTCTGCTCTTTTGTCTTGTACGATGAGGGAAAATGTGTCCTTTATTTACTCCAGATGAACCATTTCTGACCTGGGGGAGAGGGTCAGCACACTCCACCATCTCCTGAAATAATACCCAGCCTTCTTCTTCCTTTTTTTTTTTTTTTTTTGAGAGAGAGAGAGAGAGAGAGAGAGAGAGAGGAACAGAGAGACTGGAAGAGAGAGAACAGAGCAAGAGGGGGAGAGAGAATCCCAAGCAGGCTCCACACCCAGCATGGAGCCGCATGCAGGACTCAATCTCACCATTGTAAGATTATGACCTGAGTGGAAATCGAGAGTAGGATGCTTAACTGACAGCCACCCAGGCGCCCCTCTTTTTCCTTTTAATAGCTCACCAGGAAGTGGTGGCAAGCCTCTGGATCTCCAGACCCCCAGTTTCCAAATGAGCATCCCCAACCCTTCAGAGCACCAGTCTGATGACTCAGGAGTCTCCCTGAGGTGTGGAAGCTGAGTGCAGTGTTGGCCATGGGTTCATGTGGTCTAGGCACTGCATTGGGGTGGGGGGGGGGGGGGGGGGGGCGGAACTAAAGGCAAAGCCTTTCTGTCTAGAATTGAAGAAAAACACGTAAGACCTTCTTAACTCAGGAAAACATGAGAAAAACTGAGTTTCTTCCTGAGGAATGGTGAGTAGATTCTAAGCAGTTCAGTGCTTGCCAGCAAAAGATAAAAGAAAAATGTGTGAGAGACATAGTTTGAAAAGCACTGATTATAACTGGTGTATTTTCAAGCAGGTTTTTACAAAACCACGACAATATTATAGAAGTGTGTAGACTAATAACGTCGTTCTGTGTAAAGTTCAGGTTATACTATTTCTCTAATAATACTTAATATTAATGAAACTGTGATTTGTTATGGAGTTCTATTTTCTGACATGTAAAATGACTTTTGGAGCCATGGATTGGTATAGCAGGGAGATAATAAATGCTTCTACCCAGCAACCTAAATTTGAAATACATACTACATTTTTTCTGATTAAATAATTATTTTAAAAAGCATGCAGTGGGGGTACCTGGGTGGCTCAGTTGGTTAAGTGTCCGGCTTCGGCTCAGGTCATGATCTCATGGTTTGTGAGTTTGAGCCCACATCGAACTGTCTGCTCTCAGCACAGAGCCCACCTCGGATCCTCTGTCTCCTTCTCCCTCTGCCTCTCTCCTGCTTGCACTCCCTCTCTCTCTCTCTCTCTCTCTCTCTCTCTCAAAAATACATAAACATTAAAAAGTTTTTAAAAAGCATACAGCGAATGTTAGCTTGAAGAGATAAGGCAGATAACTAAGAAAAAAAAGACTATTTGAAAAGCTTTAATATTGAAATAAAAATTTTAAAACCACACCAGTGCTCATTTTTAAGGACACATTGTTTGTTCAACAAGATCATAAGATTTTTTTCCTGGTGAACCAAAAAAAAAAAAAAAAAAAAACCACAAAAAACCAAAAACCCCAAAACCTTATTAAGTTTGTCTTTTAAAAAAAGACTATAAACCTTGTACATAAAACCATGCATGAAGTCATTACTGGAGAATCAAAGGGTAATTAAATAAGAGTGTTCTTTATAGCCTCAGATCAAACTGCATTTTATAGCACATCATAAATAAACTTAAAAGAAGCTTCTCCCAACTCTATAGTAACTATACCTCCACCAGACGGGAAAGCCACTAATAAAACACTGTATCCTCACACCAGAACATGAACTTAAATAATAGACCTAAACAATACACAGGATATATTAATAAAATAAAAATATTTCAAGTAATTACATTGGTTTTATAAATTTAATGCCATTTCAATAAAAATTCCAAAAATTTTCCCATGAAACTTGACTGGCTGATTGCATTACACGTATAGAAGAGCTAAGGCCGAAAAGGAGCCAAGACAATTCTGAGAAAAACCAAGGTGGCAGGTGGGGGTAAGTCAGCCCTGTCAAATACCGGCATGTACTACAAATGTGGAGTCACTAAGCCAGGGTAGTGTTGGCACAGGGAATCGGCCCCATTCGAATGGAAGAGAGCTCAGGAAGGGTCCCGTGAGTGTGTGAGAGCTGACAAGTGAGACAAGTAGCAATGCAGACTTGTAGAGAAAGAAGAATCAACAAGTGGCATTAGGAAGGTTTGCTATCCATATAGGAAAAAAAAAATGGATTCAAGTCCACATAATACTTGAAGATATATTCTGAGTAGATTAAAGTTCTAATTGTGGAAAACAAATCTTTAACACTTTAATAAGGGTATATAGGAAGAGATTTTATAACTTGAGGAAGGAGAAAGATTTCTCTAGCAAGACCCTAAAGGCACAAACCATAAAGAACATAATGAGACACTGGATTATATTAAAACTATGCATCAAAATCTAATAGAACTGATAAAGGATTAATATCCAGAAATGGATAATAATATATTAATATTAATTATTATTTTAATTATTTTTAAATATTATATTTATTATTTTTATATTTAAATTATATTTCGATATTTTAATTATTATTTATTAATTATTAAATTGATTAAACATTTATTAAATATTAAATTATATATTTATATTTATATATTATATATTTTATATATTCTATTCTATACTTAGATATTATAAATTAAATATTAAATTAAATATTTATTGAATATTAAATATTCTTAATTATTAATATTAATTGCTATTAATTAATACATATATCAATATCAAGGAAATGGAAAGCTATAACAAAATTTTGTATAGCACCCATAAAATGATCAAAAAATTAAAATTTTAAAGAGCACGTAAGAAAAAGAAACCATGATACATTGATGGTAGGGGTGTGAATTAATGAAGCCTTTTTGGACAACAATTTGGAGAACAATTTGGCAATAGGTAGGAAAGCAAACGATACATGTGCCCAATGGCCTGATAAGTCCACTGCTGGGTGTGTATCTTCAAGACTCAGAGAATCTCTAACATTTGTGCACAAGGGGCCTTGTACAAAACCATTTGTACAGGGGCGCCTGGGTGGCGCACTCGGTTGAGCGTCCGACTTCAGCCAGGTCACGATCTCGCGGTCCGTGAGTTCGAGCCCCGCGTCAGGCTCTGGGCCTGATGGAGCCTGTTTCCGATTCTGTGTCTCCCTCTCTCTCTGCCCCTCCCCCGTTCATGCTCTGTCTCTCTCTGTCCCAAAAATAAATAAATGTTGAAAAAAAAAAAAACCCATTTGTACAAGCAACATTATATTTTTCTTAAGGATGTATAACAAAAGGTGTATAATAAGATAAACAATAAAAGTAAAGTATGTTATGTACTTCTGTTTTGTATTATACAATACAATAACGTGTAAGACCGAAGATATGAGTGTGATGATAAAACCAAATTCAGGATGGTGGTTCCCTCTGGGGTGGGAGGGAAGTGGGACTGGGGAGTGAGCCACAGGGGCCTTCAACTCTTTCTGTAACATTATGTTTCTGAGGCTGGTTGGCGAGATTGTGCATATTCATTACGTGATTCTTTCTGCTTTATGCATTTTCTTAGCAGGATTTTTATATCTTGATAATCTGAAGATTATCATAATATTTAAATAAGAAATACTGATTTTTATAATAAATTTTTTTTTAAATTTATTTTTGGGACAGAGAGAGACAGAGCATGAACGGGGGAGGCGCAGAGAGAGAGGGAGACACAGAATCGGAAACAGGCTCCAGGCTCTGAGCCATCAGCCCAGAGCCTGACGCGGGGCTCGAACTCACGGACCGCGAGATCGTGACCTGGCTGAAGTCGGACGCCTAATCGACTGCGCCACCCAGGCGCCCCTATAATAAATATTTTTAAACTAATAAATACAAAACAAGAATGGTTGGTAATTTCCAAATACCATTGTGCTTGCCAGCAAGAGTAACATTTAAAGAAAAATTCAAAGCAAAGCCATTTTGGGCACTCATTCATTTATAAAAAATCTTTCCTGGTCAAACTCCTGATTCCCAAAAATAAGAAAGACAAGAATCCTTTCTCTGCTAATATGTTTGATAGTTTACTTTTAATTATGAATGCTGACCTTTTGTGTTTTAGTTGTTCCACATACTTTAAAAGAAACATTTGCATAATTATATGTGGTAAAACAATAGTGGGAAAATAGTGCTTCTTCCTTAAAGAAGCAATGTAAAGGGGTGCCTGGGTGGCTCAGTCAGTTGAGCAACTGACTTCAGCTCAGGTCATGATCTCACGGTTTGTGAGTTCGAGCCCCGCGTCGGGCTCTGTGCTGACAGCTCAGAGCCTGGAGCCTGCTTTGGATTCTGTGTCTCCCTCTCTCTCTGCCCTCCCCCGCTCATGCTCTGTCTCTCTCTGTCTCAGAAATAAACATTAAAAAAATTTTTTTTAAAAAGAAGCAATGTAAAAAAAAATGCATACCCTCAGTTTTGTCTTAATGGTGTTACAATAACAGTAAAGAAATATAATACCTAATACTTAATGCTTACTCTATCCCAAAGCACTACAGAATGCTCACAACAATGCCTTGAGGTGAGAACTGTTCTCACTAAATCTCCCCTCTCTCTCATCCCCCCTGAACAAATGAGAAAACTGAGGCACAGAGAGGTTAAGTAACTTGCATAAGAACATATAGCTAGTAAGGGGTACTGAGATTAAACCCAGGGAATCTGGCTCCAGAGTCTGTGCTTTTAACACTGCCATGAAGATAGAGAAGAAGAATACATTCCATATTGCAGTATTGATAAAATAAAAATTGCTCAAGCAATCTCTCTGACACCCAAACATAATGTGAGACTTTCATCTCACTGCCGAACTGACTTTGGCATTGACTGGTCCCTAAGCTCTTGAGAGATCCATAAATTTCTATTTTGTGGCAATGAACTGAAGAATAGCCTGATTCAAAAAGGCAGCATCCCAAAGTAGGGCAGACACTGAGACACTGTGGTTCCTACTTCCTCTAACCACAGATCCCCGTCTCCCTCAACCTGTGGGAAATGCACACACAACTGCAAGGTTGCCCTGGTCCCACAGGTGCACATATGCCCTGCCTGGCAAGCAGGTGCCCTACCTGGCCATGCAGCATGGACTCCAGCACGAGAGCCCACAGGTCCACAAAGGTCTTGGGGTGGCCCTGCTTAGCCCGCAGCTCCAGCTCCCGGCAGTAGCTTGCTAGGCGCTCTGGGGAGAAGGCCTCCAGTTTGCTCTTGGCCAGGTGCTCTCTAGCACATTTGATGGGCCCTTCGAGGTCCCCCTGTGACCACTCCGGGTCCCCGTAGAGGTGGGCCATTGTCCTGGGAGAATAAAGGGACAATATGGAGGGAGACGGAGGTCCAGCTTGGGTCACCGCAACACTTCCCTCCCACTTCTCCCAACATGGCACTCCTGCAGCTAAGGCCCTGCCCATCTAGAGAATGTGTCTCAGGGCTTTCTCTCAGATCAGCGCTGTCCAATATAATGTGAGTCACATAAGTAATCTGAAATTTCCTAGTAAGTACATTTTGAAAAAGAGAAGGCTAGTAAAAATTAATTTTAATAATATGTTTTAATTCAATATATCTAAAATTTGTAATTTCAACATGTAATCAACATAAAAAATTGACATAAATTTATATTTTTCAAACTAAGTCTTCAAAATCCTTCTGTATTTTATAACGCATCTCAGTTTGGACTTGCCACATTTCACGTGGTTGCTATCCACAGGTGACTAGCAGCTACCGCATTGTATGGAACAGATCTAGACCCTACGCCCATCTTCATGGGCCTGTCCTCAAGCCCTTTAAGATGCTGCATGTCAACAGCTATCACCTAAACTCCTCAGAGTTCACTCTTCTTTTACTCCTTAAAGTCACATTTCAGTAAGACTCAAAGGAGTGAATCTCTAACAGTGAAAAGCCCCACCTCTTCATAGGCAGAGTCAGATACAGGGAGGCAGTGGTGTCTTCAGGCAAGATAGTATCTCTCCATCTAAATTTCTTCATCTATGCGTTAGGGGTAGTAAGAGAAACTACCCTAGGGAGTGTTATAAGGATTTAATGAGGTAACAACAATTAAAGAGAAGAAAGCTACCAATTTGGAGTTCCTGGTACTTATCATACATGTTAAGTGTTTTACTTGGGCTGTCCCATTACAGTCCTATGAAGTATGTACTACTATTACCCCCACTTTGGAGATGAGTCAACTGAGAATCAGAGGAAATAAGTTGCCCAGGAAGTGGTGTTGCAGAGACTCAAACCCAGCTCCTTCTGAATCAGCTGCCTTATACCTCTTCGGTAGCATGGAATGATGTCCTACAATGCCTCTCCCATGGCAGGACCTCTGTAACATCTACTTCCTCCCTTTTGAGAAAGTCACTTTTGGCACCCGTCAGACCGGACTGCTCATACCCATGTGGCTTCCTCACAGAGAAGGTTCCCCTGGTGTCTATTCCACTCCCCTCTGGGACCTGATCATCTATGTCTTCCAGTCCCCAGGGCCCTCACCATGTAGAGCCTGAGATGCCACTGAAGTAGGTCACACAGTCCAGGAGGCCCAGCTTCTGTAGGGCCAACAGGTGGCCATAGAGAGACGTCATGGCCCGGGCACCTCCTCCTGTGGCCATTATGCCCACAACAGGGACCTGGACCACACACAAAAATAGGCTGGCTTAGCAAGGACTCAGGATGAAACTACTTCCTGGCTCCAGGGAAGGGACCTCATGGCCAGGGCCTGATTGGAGTAGGGATTAGAGCTAGTACCCAGCCCCTCCCCCAGGAAGTGACAGATCTCAGCCCCAGACAGATCCCCAAAGAGAGTGAGAACCCCAGAGCTTACCCCCTTCACCACCACCCCCTACCCCGCTCCATGTCCACTCCCATGTCTGCTGACTAGAGTGTCTAGGGAGGGCATAGGAATCGGGTACTTCCTTAAGGTCATTCCAAGGTATTGCACCCCCAAACCTCATCCTCCTGTAGGTCTCTGTCCAGCTGCAAGACCTGCTTGAGAGCCTTGGCCACCACCTGCTTCCTCCTGCTCAGGAAAGCTTTCTCCTCTGCACACAGATCAAAGCCCAGGTGCATAGCCAGCTCCTTAGGGCTGGGCAGTAGAAGATCCAAGAGTTAGGGGACACCGCATAGCTCAGCCACTGGTTGGCCAAGCCCACAACAGATGCCAAATAACCTCCCTTCTCCCATCCCCAAAGGCCAGCCTTTGCACAGCTCTCCCCTGCCCCATGATCATCCCTCACTGTCTCCCACAGATATGAATGTCCCTTACCAGCCCTCAGTCTTGAGCTGCAGCCTCACTTCTGGGGCCTGAAATCAAAGCAAGAGACTGAACTAGGATGTCTTAGACCCTGGAGGGAAAGTGGGTAGACCCTGGGGGCCTGGGCTCCCCATCTTTATTCTCACTGGCACTTCCCATCCAGTTGAAGCCACTTACGTTTGTAGCAGGAACGTTAATGGTCACCTCCTTTCCCATGGCCAAGGACCTTAGAGGCACAGTGAGGTGCTCAGCTGACTTGTCTGAAGTCCAGGCGTTCGTTTCCAACCTCTGGAGGGAAATATTCATTCATTCAGCCAATCCTTACTGAGTATCTAGAGAGTGATCCAGACACAGTCCCTCTCTGATAATATGAAAATAATCACAATATTTATAATTATTATAATTATGGTAATTAAAATTACTAATTATAAAAATTCCTGCTAATATTTATGGTTCTAACTGAATTATGGTATGAATTTATAATGAATTAGGTAATGAACAGATGTTAGTAAGTGTTGTAAAGGAAAAAAAATGTTGTAAAGGAAATAAGCAGTGTGATATGATACAATAACCAAAGGTGGGGTGTGTGGGGTCTATTTAAGATGGGGAGTCAAGGAAGGCCTCTCTGAAGAGGTGCTATTTGAGCTGAGATCTAAAAGGAGAAAGAGGAAGTAGAGGATCAGGCAGCCTTGAAAGGAGTCAGAGGTAGAAGAGAGAAAGCACTTGACATGTTAGAAAAGCAAGAAGAGACAAGTATGGCTAGAGCATCATAAAGAGGGGGAGTGTGGACCAAGATGAGGCAACAGAGGTGGGCAAGGGCCAGGCCTTGTGGGCACAGATATGGATTTTAATCTAAAAGCATCATTGCAGGAGCCATTGAAAAGTTCAGACAGTCTGACAAGGCATAACAGCCCCCATGCCCACTTGAGGCTCCTGGTGATTTCCCTGTCTTGCCAAGGGCTTAGTGTCTAACTGGGGGAGGCTGGCAAGGCCACAGGAGCCTGGTGTTGGCCTGAGAGGGGCCCACAACAGCTGGAGCTGGCCCAAGGCTGGGAGAGCTCCAAAGCAAAGACCTACCTTCAGATGCCCACTCAGTTCTGCCTCTTGGGCTGCCATGTAATGGAAGCGGAAGGATGCTGTGCCTAGTGCAGAGGTCTGTGTGTCTTCATATGAGCCCTTCAGCACCAACTCCAGCTCATCCTGATCTAGGGAGAAAATGGGCAGATTAGCACAAGTGGAACAAGAGCCAGGAATCCCGGCAGGGTCCCAGGGAAATCAGCAGTGCTGCTTGAACTTGGCCAAGGCCTGGGAGCCCGGGCCGGTAGACAGGATTCTGGAAAGAGCCCTCCCCAGTCTTCTGGGCCCCACAACCCCCATGGGACCCCTACCTCCTGCTACATAGCCTCCTCCAGGTCAGGGGACCCTCCTGCCTAGAGGAGACTTGTTGCCCTTGTCCAGTGCGGGCAAGAAGAAAGAGGCAAGCTCTGCTCGGCTGCTCACCTCCCACTCTGTACAGGTTTCCAGTCACCCCATCTAGCAGAGACCAGACCTGGTTCTGAGCCACCCTCAGGCAGAAGCCAGACCTGGTTCTGAGCAGGCCTCACCTGTGACCGTGGCTGTGCTCCCAATGCTGACCAGATGGACATCCAGGCATGACAGCTCTCGGGCCTGGGGCAGACCATATCATGGGCAGGGGGCTCTGGAGGGAAAGCTGAGGTCTCCTTGGCTTTGCTCTCAGAACCCCTCTGTCCCAAATCCACCACACGCAGAACGGGAAGTGAGGGCCAGAGTGGGACTGGAGGCAGAACCCCTGACTCGAGACACCTCTAATCTGCTGCACCTGCCAAGTCAGGTGTTCTGGAGCAGGCCAGGAGAGTCCAGTCTCCACCCTGCACACCCCACCCCCCAGCTTTCCTAGATTTGCCAAACATCGGGGATCCTTGAAGGCCACCCAAGCCTCAGACACCGTTCTTTCTTCTCTGTGTTTCTCTGGACTCAATCTGGAGAGTGTGTTCTACCATAACTGCCCCCAAACAGTAGCGTGCAAACCACTGGTCTATGATTGGAGAAGCCTTTACAATGTTAACAATGAAGGTACCTCCCGGCTGTCCTCCTGTTGACCTGCTGGCCAAATGAGCCCGCAGAATTCTCTGTAATGCCTGTCAGCTGACACCCACAGTCCACCCGGCTCTTGTTACCGATGCTCTCCTGTAGATCTGCTGACTTTATCAACCCACCACTGGTCTCCATCACTCAGATAAAAAGCAGCTGCCTAGGTATGATGATTTTAACGTGCATTTGTAAAAGTGATACTAGCCCATCAAACAGGCACTTGCACAACCCTGAGGGTAAATGCTTTCTTCAGTTTGAGACTCTATGTGCCTTACCTTACCTTAGGCCCAGCCCTGCTCCCAGGTCATGGCTGTGTTGCTCACCTGTGAGCTTTGAGTAGAAAGTGCATTGGTTACCACTGCAGCTTTGTGAGCTTGCTCTGTTTTAGAAGAGCTGACCAGGACTGTCCAGTGTCTCAAGGAGGAGCTGACTGACCCCCTGACGCTATCCCAGAGCCCCCAGATTGGAAGCAACCACACTGGAAACTCCCTCTGAGCCTCTGCTACTTCAGTACTAACACCCCAGCCCGGCCTGGCCTTCATGACTCGCTCACCACCTTCCAAGGCTGAGAACTTAAGTCCATCACAGGTGACAACACTGTCAGGAACACCTAAAATTCCCCCAACACTCCCTCAGCCATCCAGCCTTGGGCTACAACCTCCTCTCAGCAGAGCCTCAAACTCTCTCTCTCCATATTCCCTGAAGGCCCTGGCCCCTCCAAGCCCCAGCCCCTGATCACAGCCCCAGTAACCACCTATCTGGGAGGCCAGGGGTGGTAGTACCACAAGCCTCTGTCCCTGCCTGTCCCTTCCGCACCTCCTACCTCAGTTTCAGCTCTGGGGCCCCTCCCTCAGATGCCCTTACAAGCCAGAGGAGAGTGGTTACCACAAGGACGTTGTTGGTGATGAGGTTTTCTGGGCGTTCTGACCTGGAAAAATCAAGACATCAGGAGCTCAGCCTGGCAAAGGTGAATACTCCCTGCACTGGGCTGTCCCCTCACAGGCCAGCCTCCAGCCTCCCTGGGGCCTCCCCAGGGAGATGCTGAGGGACCCTAAGTCCTGGGTACCATTCATGAGGGGGGTGCTTCTGAAAAGTGCAAGGTGAGGAAAGAGAGGGACAGTGGGGCCAAGGAAGCAGTGACTTTCCTCTAAGACCCCCCACCCAGACTGGCAGGGGTGGGGACTGAGGGATGGTGAATCTGGGTCAAAGACATTTCCCTAAATAAATCCTGGGTCCTGAGACACTCCCCAGACTGTGTGATTGTTACTCACGTTTTTTCCATCAGGAACTCCACGTCCAGCTCCTCCTGTCCCTGAAATCAAAGATAAACAAGTCATCAACATTTACACATATCTTTGGAGTTGACACAGTTCTTTGACAACGCACTGTCTCGTCTCGAGCAGTGTCTCAGGGATGCACAGTATAACAATTCTTCCCACTTTACAGATGAGGAAATTGAGGCTTAGGGAAAGATGGTCTACCTGCCCAAGTTACCTACAGCTGATAAGTCTGCAGAGAGCAGTTCTCTCTTCTTGGCAGGGCTGAAGAGAGGGATGAGCACAAGTCTAAAGAGGCTTAAGGACACCCAGGGCCCATCTCCTGTTCCTCTTGTGGGGAACCTGACCCCAGAACCCTGCCTTCCCACTCCTTACCTGCTGGAGAAAGAGCAGAGGCCTTCATAAAGCAGGCCTTGGGTACCACGGGAGATCAGAGGCAGTGAGCAGGAGTGATGGATCCCACAACTGCCCCAAGAGTTAGTTACCCTGAGCTGTGTTTTGATGGACATTAGGAAGTTGTTCACCACTGAAACCTTCCTCCCATAGATGACTAAAATCCCTCCACGGAGTGATTCAGTCTGTAACAGTCTAGTTAAGCCTTTTCCTTTCCTATTAATGTGTCAATCTCTGGGCGGGGTTGCCATCTTTCCAGAACGAATTCAACCCAGCAGCATCCCAATAGATAGGCAAAACTGTAACTTCCTCAGCCTGGAGCTGAGAGAGGTGGGGCCCAAGGGGATCCCCACCCACCTGGGGACGCAGGGAGAAGGTCTTCTGGAGCAGCTGGCCAGGGAGGACTTCTGAGACGTCATAGAGAATCTTGAAGCAGGCATCATCCTCCGTGACTGGGTCCTCATCATAGACGTTTAGCTCCAGAATATTCTAAGGACCCGAGAACAGCAACTTGACACATTATTTACTCATTACTGTACTTCACACCTGTTGAAACTTTACTTGATGTCCAGGGTCAGGAAAGATTATTATGCCTCCATACTTTGTACTTCAAAATAAAAAGGGTAGTAAAGCTTCAAAGTAGTAAAAGGAAATCCAGCAAAGTTCCTAATCTCCCCCACCCTTTAATTGTTTTTTATAAAAAATAAAATCCTTTCAGTGTTTCCTCACCTCCAATCTCCCCCCACCCCCTGCCGCCCCCGCCGCCACCCCAGCTTGCTGGTCCCCCAGGGCACCATATGTACCAGGAGCTTCCATGCATTTATCTCATTTAACCTCACAACAACCCCATCAGGAAGGGATTCTTCCTGTCTCCCTTCCACACACGGCCTTGGAGAGGACCAGCAACTTGCCAGAGGTCAGACTCACAGCCAGCTGCTGGGTCACACATTCTCTCCCACACAGCCCTATCCAGGCTGGGAACAAAGACACCTCCCCAGTGTCTCCGACTGAGCCCTGGAGGGAAATGTGTTCCAAAAGAAGGATATAGCCTGTCCTTAGGAGGGTGGCCCTGGCCTTTACCTTGACCCGACTCTGGATCAGGAAACTGAAGGTCTCATTCCATACAGGATGACTGGAGTTGGTGATTGTTTTGGTTTTAAACTTTGTCCCAGGTGCAGTGGGCAGCTGTAGGGTCACGTAGGGGTCTGCCTCACTCACTGCCAACATCAAGAGAACAGTGTCAGAGAGAATTCCTTACACTCCTCTCCAGGGGACTCACCAAGTTCCTGCCACAACCAGCCCAGCCCCCAGGTTCTCGCCTGGGCCTTTCCCATAGGGTCTGGTCATCTCTGCACCCCTGGAGCCCAGGAAACCATTACTCACACAGGTCAGCCCAGCCCAGGTTCCTGGCCTCCAGGACCTTCACAGTAAGCCTCCAGCAAGCAGAGGCCTCCACCTGGAGAGAAATAACAGACTATTCAGTCCTTCCCGCCCAAACTCGAGCCCACCAGTCTGTGCTGAGGTTTCTCCTAAGATGCTCCACGATGCTGCATGGCATTCTGGGGCCAAATAGCCTGTGCCCACCACTGTCCTCAGGGCTGTGATTCCAGGCTGTAGCAGTCAAGGCATGGCAGGCCACCCAGGGGGTGGAATTTGTGGGATCCCCTCCCCTTCAGGGACAGGATTGCACAGTGCGGTGGTGAAAGCAGGGAAATGAGGGCCAAGGAATGGCCACCACACTGGACATGTCACTTTGGGGTTGCCCCCCACCCAGGGCCCCCAGAGAGGGCAGCCCTTTGGTGAAGCATGTGAGTCTGCTGTTCAGCACCCCTCAACCCTCTGGACAGGACATGGGACTCGACACCAGGGAGGCTGGGCCCTGGGAAGCCCAGTCATCTGTGACAGCCATGGGCACTCACCCTCTCTTGAGTGTGAAATAGGAAACTCCAAGAGCATCAGGCCATTACCGTGAGCAAGAGGCCATTGTGAACTAAGGCACTGGGGAGGCCACATTAGCCCACAGACAAAAAGCCCAGTGAGGAGGAAGAAGGAACTGAGTGGGCACAAGTGCACAGGGGCAAAAGGAGTAGAGGTGGTGAAGGACAAGCAGTAGGCAAGTAGGATGCACCAAGTCCTGCTGGGGACAGGGCACCCGGGGGCTATCCTCACATCCCTACTGCTGAGGGCCTTGCCACTGCCTAGATCCCGGGTGCCTAGGGTTTCTGTTCTTCTTGAGGCCTGGCTATGGAGCTGCTACTGGGCACCCTGCGCAAGGTTCTTAACAGCAAGTCCCTGCGGGCTGAGGTAGAGGTGACACTGTGCTTGCATGATAGACATTCGGCCTCATGTGGTGGGGAGATAGTGCTGCGATGACACCAAGGAGCTTTCTTGCTTTGTGCCCTCCCACCATCAGTCCCTTCTGTGCCCGTGATCCAGAAGTCTCCTGCCAGGGCCCATCTCAGCTCTGCACAGACGCTGCCTGCTGGGGGCTGCCTCAGTGTCCACAGACCAGCTCTCTATTCCCACAGAGAAACTTAAAGGACAATGGGCCACAGCAGGGTCGCTCAGGACCAGTGCCCCATGGGTCCCCACATCACTGTCCTGCGCCTTCATGCTGAGTATCTTTGTCATTCCTGTCAGCTTTCTGGCAGAGCATATGTGATACCCACCCCCCCCCCCCTGAACCCCCTATAAGGCCTACTTGTTTCTCCCTTCTTGGGGCTTAACTCCAGTGACACTAGCAACACTTTGACCCTACACGCCTTAAGCCAGAGCTTATAAATGGTAGATATTTCATGGCTTTTAGACACCTGGTTCCATGTCCTCCCTGCACCCAGATTCTATCACTGCCTGGACAGAGGAAGTGCTGGCTGGGGTCCTGGGGCCCAGGAGGGAGCTGTGCTTCCATGCCCCACTCCAGGACAGGGCAAGGACAGAGGCAGCCCCTGCTCCCCCTCATTCTCGAGGCCACAGCCTGTGGGCTGCTCTAGAGCCACATGGGGCTTCTAAGTGGCCCCAGTTGCTCCTTTCCGGCCAGTCACCGTGCCCAATTTGAGCATTGTTGCCCATTTCTCTCTCTGGTCACCAAAAGCCTCTCAATCGCAGAAAGCCCACTGTTCCCTGGCGGGATATTTTTCCAGGGTGAAACCCTATTTCTTGTCACACCTAAAACCATCAATGTTGCAGAGCACCAGAGGATGGGCTGTGACAGTAATTACAGTGACTAGTTACTACTGAGGGAGGTGGAGTGGGGTGGTCAAGGCAGGCTCCCAGCCACAATAGCTGGATCTAAACCCTGGTCCTCTGCTTACTTGCTGTGTGACCCTGGACAAGTCACTAAACCTCCCAGTGCCTCCAATTCCTCATATGTAGTGGAATTAGTAGAGGCTAAATGTGTTAACACCTGTAGAATGCTTAGCAAAAAAGTAAAGTTTCCAGATGATTGCTCTTATTGCTGTTTAGTAAGTGCTTGTCATATTTCTAGGTGCTGTACTAAGCATGTTATGTATTCCAACTTGATTTATCCTCCTGACAACCTCCTAAGATAGTACAAGATAGTATTCTGCTTTCCTCCCATTTTACAGATGAGAGAACTGAGGCTCAGAAAGGTCAACTTGCCGTAGGTCACAGAGTTAGTAGATGACATAGTCAGGATTCAAACCCAGATCTTTAAGGCCAGAGCTCATATCTCCTGTGCTGTTCTACCTTCCCAGGACTTTGCTTCTTTGTAAAAGCATGCAACTTTCCCCCACTGCCCTGTGGATATATAGACAGCAGAATTTCATAGATTTGTTTTAGACCAATATGAATATTGAACTAACTAATAGGATTCTCCTGAGGGCACTGCGGCTTGCCCTTCCCTTTTGAAATGTCCTCCCATCTGAAATCATCCCATCAATCCTTAATTGATGACTGACCCTGGATGCTTATGGAGAGCTTCTCCAGCAAGGACCCCCAGCCCAGCTTCCCGGAAGATCCTGGGAGTACCTCCCTGCTGAGAGTGTCAGCCACTGTTTCTCCCAGGGCCTCCTCCAGCCTCCTCCCTATGGAGAGACTCAGTGCTGACCCTGGCTCAAGACAGGAGATATGACCCAAGGAAGTTTAAGGGGGCTAGAGTCCCCATATAGGGGTCTGGAGTATCTGTGACCATGGGGTCTTCATCAGGAGGAGAAAAATGAGCAGGCTGCCTTTCCCCCTGTTGGCACCCAGGGACCTGTGTGGTAGTGGTAGAGGAGGTTGGAGAGAGGGAGGTTGGAAACTTCAGGAACAGCCTCAGGCCCCGTGTCTCCTGAGTCATGCTGAGCTGATGCTCCCAGGTCTCACAGCAGGCACGTTCCAGAGCAAGTCCTGGATGCTTCACCTGTCCTGCCAGCTCAGCTCCTGCTGCCAGGGCAGGCTCCAGTTCCCTCTTCCAGCAGGAAAGACGCTGGGTGAGGCCACTACTGAGGCTGCCCCAGGAGCCGACTTGAAGGCTGAGGGTAAAGGGTCTGGTCTTGGGGACTCAGTCAGTCCCAACAACATCAGCTGCAGGAAACGTGTTTTCCAGGCATGTGGGCCGACTCAAGCTCCCAGAGCCACTGCACCTTGAGCTTCAGTTTTGCCTCTGGGCTGGGCCTAGAGCAGGCAGAGGGTAGCAGGAAAAGATGCCCGGCCTTCCCCAGGGAGACGAGGATGAAGACAGATACTTCAGAAACTTCCACAGCTGGAGGCTGTAGGCTCAGGGGCTCAGGCTCCTGACGGGAGGAACAGATTGAGCCCGGGCTGTCCAAACCCTCCACCACCAGCTCCTGCAGCCTTGGGTTCTTCCCAGCCCCCCATCAAGGCGTTTACACTAATGTCCACCTTGGAGGGGGTGGTCTTCTAGACCTCAGGTTGACACGGGCTGGGGCAGTAGGTGTCATCCTTCAATGGAGGGGTGTCTCTCTATCCTTCCCCAGATTGCCTGGTCCCTGGCCTGAGTCAGGCAAGTCTTCTGCAGAAACACCAGTCTGGAACTGCTGGACTGGATCTGACTCAGGCCTGGGTCTCAGGGTCAAGGTTCCAGAGACCTGGCAACGTCTGAAGAATGAGGCAAATGCCTCAGGACAGTGTGCTTAGCACACTTAGCCCCTGTCATGGCCACTGCCTGGGGCACCAGGGGAGACCTGAGGAGCCAGTCCCTCTGGCCTTGGTCCACAGCAGAGGAAGACAAATCTGGGCTAAGGGGAAGCACATGGAAGGAGTGGGGCTAGTCGTTTATAGACCTCTTTGGCCTGGTTGCAGCCTCATCTCTTGGGCCCGGGAAGTAACTGGCAGCGGGTGGGGAGTTGGCCTGGCAGACCTCCTGAGACACACAGGGTGGTCCCTTGGCCCCAACCATTTCCAAGAAGTTCACTACCTGCAGTGGTGAACTATGGGCCTGGTGGGGTATCCTTTGGTGACACGTAGCCACTGTGTTCTCTGATGCAGCCTGTGAGCTTTTGTGGGAAGGAGGGTAAGAGCCTCTAAGGGGGCTACTGGCTGATCACTCACAGTGGAGAGGGAAGGCTCTGGTCTCCCAGGCCCTCTACTTTTATGAGAGCTGATCATCTATCCACCCCACCCACTCCCCACCCCCAAATACAGAACCCCTTACCTTCTACTTCCCACCCTTGGCCTCTGCCTAGGCTGAGACCCCAGCTCTGGGACCCAGGCCTTTGCCAGAGGTCAGAATTACCTCGGTGTTAGCTATGTCAGGCTTCTCAGAATGCACCCTGGCCCCAGGCCCTGCCCTGAGCGATGCCCAAGGGCTTGGCAACACTGTTACCTGGTGAGGATGGCCAGGTGGTCCCCTAGTTGTCAGTCTTTCCATACTGACACTCCCAGGCTCCAGCTCCTCCCAAGATGCCAGCTCCCTCGCTGGCTGGCAGCAACTATTCCAAGGGAATGGGACTGTGAATCTGCCAGGCTCAGAGGAGCCATGATCCTATAAACAGGTTGGGGCTCCACCCCCCCCAAGTCACTCCTTTAGCCTAGCACCTTCTCCTCTTCCCCAAGAGGCTGGGCCAACCAGCATCTCCAGAAACCTCTGGCAGGGCTCCAGGGCCCGCAGGTGGAGCACCCCTTTCAGACACGGAGCATCAGAATTGCAGATGCAGCAAGGAGGGGAGACAAGTCCTAGGAGCAGTGGCAGGAAGCTGGTTCCCCTGAGGCTGAAGGTCTGGGCCAGGGTAGGGGCAGAACTGTGGCAACTGCAGCCCAGCCCCAGCCTGAGCCTCTCAGGGAGGAGGGGAGAGGAGGGCTGAGCATACGAGAGGAGATAAGAGGCCAGACCTCCTCAGCAGCTCTCTGCCGCCAGGATCCTGGGGATGCTGGGGTGGCCGGCCCTGTGCAGAACCTGAAGAGCTACAGGGGGCTCTGGACTCTGGTTCTAAGCCCCTCACCCTCACTCCTTTCCTTTGGCTAATCCTAGGAATTTAGAGGATTTTCATTAGACTCAAATGGCAAACCTACCACGTAAAGGTAACAGAGACAAAACAGGAAACTCTTAGACTATGGATACCACAGAAGAAGACTTTGTGAAGTCACCTGTTTAAACTTTTCAGTGTACACAGTGGCACGAAGTGTTCTCCTAAAAGGACGTGAATTCGGTGTTTTCACTGTCAGTTCACTATGTAATTTAACAATATGATTTGTTTTTCAAGGCAAGTGAAACTGAATTAATGTTAACTTAGCACAAATGGATCTAAAAGGTATTATTACAGAATTGGCAAAAAAGAAGAAAGAAAAAGAAAATTAATAAGTCTCAAAAAAGTGAAAAATAATTGAATGGGAAATATTTCTAATTTGTATGAGCCAGCTATAAAATCTAATGGAAAAGTCAATGTAAAACATAGACAGCTATGAATGAAGAACAACTTATTCCAAAGTGAGTCATACATGAAGCAATGCACAAAGACCCACAGCTGGTGAGTGGCAGAGCCCAGGATTATGCTCTCTGGACTAGAAGTCTGTGTCCCCTTCACCAGGCTGGGCACAGCCTAGCGTGGAGCCCACCTACCCTCCATGACCAGGGCCAGTCTCAGAGCCATCCCTGAAAAACACATCTCGCTGAGTGAATAAACATCTCCCTGAACTGATGTGGGCCTCATCTGGAACCACCGGATTGGCAGGGGAAGCCACAGAGGCAGAGCTGAAGCGTCACCTACCATGAGGTAACCCCCAGTGCCAGCCCTCCACACATGCATGGCAGGGCCAGGCACCCCCACCTCCCCAGAGGACAGGGTCCCTGGGCTCAGCTCTTTGGACTAAGAGGAGAGTTTTGTGCTCAGTTTACTTCGCCTGTGCAGTATGGTGCGGTTGATGCTGAGCCTGGTAAAAACCATGGCATTCCTGACTCAGAGATTCTCAGCTTGAGCTAGGGCCCATGGATGGAACTTGGGGCACTCTGAATAGTTTCTGAGATTAGGTGCAGAATTACGTGGGTATGCGTGCATGAGAATGCTTCTGGAAAAAAGGCCTAGAGCAGCACTGTCTAATAGGAAAGTCATGCAAGCCACATATGTCTTACTAAACTTTCTAGTGGTCACATTTTAAGAAGTAAAAAGATATAGGAGAAATTAATTTCAATAATGCATTTATTTAACCCAATAATTCAAGGTATTATCAATTCAACTATAATCAACATATGGAATTGTTAAGGAGATATTTTACATTTCTTTCATACTAAGTTTTCAAAATCCACTGCGTGTTTTACAGTTTATAGCTTCTCTTTTTGTTCACATTTCCTAGGCTGTATTTTTCATCCCTCTGACTTACTTATTTTATAACTGGAAGTCTGTACCTCTTAATCTTCTTCACCTATTTTGCTCATCCTCCCAACACCCCCCCCACCCCAACCACCAGTTTGCTCTCTGTATTTATGATTTTTGTTTCTGCTTTCATTTGTTCATTCATTCTGTTTGTTAGATTCCACATATAAGTGAAATCACATGGTATCGGTCTTTCTCCGTCTTGACTTATTTTGCTTAGCATAATACCTTCTAGGTCCATCTCTGTTTTTCCAAATGATAAATGATAAGATTTCATTCTTTTTTCTTGCTGAATAATATTCATATGTATATTCATGTATATATATACCACATATATTCATATGTATATTCATACACACACACACACCCCACATTTTCTTTACCTATTTGTCTGTTGATGGACACTTAGATTGATTTCGTATCTTGGCCATTGTAAATGATGCTGTAAAAAACATAAGTAGGCATGTATCTTTTTTAATTAGTGTTTTCATTTTCTTCAGTTAAATACCCTAAAGTGGAATTACTAGATTGTATGGTAACTCTATTTTTAATTTTTTGGGGAACCTCTGTACTGTTTCCTATAGTGGCTGCACCAATGTGCATTCCAACCAACAGTGCACAAGGGTTCCTTTTTCTCCATATCCTCTCCCACACTTGCTGTTTTCTGTGTTCTTAATATTAGCCATTCTGAAAGGTCTGAGGTGATATCTCATTGTGGTTTTGATTTGCATTTCCCTGATGATGAGTGATGTTGAGCATATTTTCATGTGTCTGTTGGCCTTGTGAACGTCTTTTTTGGAGAAATGCCTATTCAGGTCTTCTGCCCATTTTCTAATTGTTTGTGTTTTTGGTGTTGAGTTGCATGTGTTCTTTATATATTTTGGATATTAGCCCCTTATCACATATGCCATTTGCAAATGTCTTCTCTTATTCAGTTTTTTTGATGGTCTCCTTCACTGTGAAAAAGGTTTTTAGTTCAATGTAGTCCCAATAGTTTAGCTTTGCTTTTATTGCCCTTGCCCGAGGAGACAGACACCAAAAAATATTGCTAAGACTGATATCCAAGAGTTTTCTGCCTGTGTTTTCTTTGAGGAGTTATATGGTTTCAGGTCTCACATTCAGATTTTTAATCCATTCTGCGTTTCTTTTTATGTGTGGTGTAAGAAAGTGGTCCAGATTCATTCTTTTGCATGTAGCTATCCAGTTTTCACAGAACTTATAGCATGTCTTAGTTCAGACTAGCTACCTTTGAAGTGTAATAGAGTGGCCACACATAGCTAGTGACTACCTTGTTGGAGGTCTATAGAGGGGCCACAGAGTTCAGAGTGGACAAGAGAAAATGAATTATGTGCCAAGATTTAACATTTTACTTAGTTCCTTTTCAAAGTGGGAAGAGGGAGGGACCAAGAACCAGGAAGCAAATTTGTTGGCACAAGTCCTGCTGATCTCCCCACACCAGACCTCCCTGCAAAGGTTGTGATTAAGGAGCAGGGACAGGGAGAGGTGGACCAAGAGGAACAAAGGCCAGGGTGAGAGGACAGGTGACAGGCAGAGGACACTTGGGGCCAGTCAGTCTGAAGCAGGGCCAGCAGGCGCAGCAGGGTTTGGCTAAGGCCACATGGTGCTCACCCAGGCCAGTGGGGATCCTCGGAGGATGGACATGCCTGTTTAGTCTATCAGGGCCTTACCCAAGCTGCCAAGCTGGAGAGGACCTTGGACACCTCCATATTCCATTCTGTCATCCCTTCTCCTTTGCTGGCCTTCCCCTTTCCTTCCACTCTCTCTTCTCAGAGTTTGCTCTACATTCACAGGAAATGGACATCTTTTTTCTTATTCAGCATGCACAGACCCTTTAATTTTCCCAAACTGCCTCTGTGAAAGCAGCCCCTTCCCTACCCTCAACCCCCACCGTGTGGGGAGTATTCTTCCACCTTTAGCTGCAAGAATGCAACATGAGGTGTACAATTCGTTGGACTCATGACTCAAGTGGGTACTAACAAAATCCTGGTACACGAAGTACTGAAAGAGGCGCTTTGTCTTTCCTGCTTCACAAGAACTTGGCAGGATATGAATCTGGAGCTACTGATGGTAGACATCCTGCCACCACAAGGGTAGGACTTTCAGAAAATGGAGCCAACAATAATAGTTAATGCTTAAGCAGTTCTTACTATATGTAGGCAGAGGGGGGTTTACTGTGAAGCTAATGTTGCTTACACTGGGCCTCCTCTTGCACATGCCCATCCAGGGCTCTGAGAGGACCCCAGCACTAGGTCTTTGTGTTAACTCATAGGTATTAGTAAAATTTGCAAAAGTAAGCTTTCTAAACTACAACTGGATGAGATCTCTGGTTTCCCATTCTTTCATCTCTCCTGTTCACGTTGATGTGACTATGTATTTTTAGGATCTGGCTAAGGAGAAGGTGAGTTAGAGATAAAATTAATTTTGAGTTACTGGGACATAGTTATGTGGGTTGTAGTCAGTTTCATGTATACTGAAGTTACTGTTCACCTTTGTGGTTTAGGAATAGCTTCCAAAAATACTCCCACCTCCCACTGTGCGGACTCATCTGGCATTGTGACACAGAGGTACAAGACTGGAGGTTGTTCTGAGGTATAAGAAGAATAGGGTAGAGGAAGAGAAACAAGATGTGAAATACACAAAGCCAGACACTAGTCTGTGGAAAATTCGTCCAGTCAAGACATATAAAATCCTAAGTGAAACATTTAGTTTCCATTGACACCTGATGAAAACAGAGCCTCTCCTAACAGAGATGTTTTTAGTGTCTGGAATGTCTTTTTTCCTTTATCTGATAGATATCTCAAGAAATGGAAGTTACCATATTCCTATTCTAATGAGCACATCTACAATAGCTCAGGTATAAGAGACGCTTGAAAGATGCAGCAGATTTGATTTTTTTTTTTCTGAAGATGGTTGCAACAATATCTCCCATCCTCCATGCTCTTCTAGATAGAACCTTGATACTCCCTCAGCAAGAGATGGGGGCAAATTCCCCTCCTCTTGAATCTTGGACTGCAGACTCTCTAAATAATAGGAGATAAGGAACTTGATACTGCTCAACTCTGAGGTTAGGTCATAAAATGTGAGGCAGCTTCTTCCGCTGAGAGCCATATGAGATGCCCAAGTCCTCCTGAA